CTGCTAGCTAGGCACAAAAAAAAAGGTTTGTTACATCGAATCGTCACTAGTGATGAAAATTGGATACATTATGATAATTCAAAAAGAAGAAAATCMTGGGGACTACCTGGCCATGCGTCAATATCCACAGCAAAACCGAATATTCATAGAAAAAAACTCATGCTGTGTATTTGATGGGATCAGGTGGGTGTGGTGTATTACGAGTTGCTTAATTCAAGCGAAACAATCACTGGAACTCTCTACCGAACACAATTGATGARATTGAGCCGAGCTCTGCAGTAAAAATGCCCTCAATACTACTCCAGACACAACAAAATTATTCTTCTACATGATAATGTTCGTTCGCATGCAGCGGTTCCGCTGAAAAACTATTTGAAAACACTTGACTGGAAAGTACTACCCCACCCGCCGTATTCACCAGACATTGCGCCGTCCGACTATCATCTGTTCCGGTCAATGGCACATGCTCTGTCGGAGCAACGGTTCACATCATATGAAGATACCAAAAATTGGGTTGATTCGTGGATTGCCTCAAAAGATAAGAAGTTCTTCAGACATGGAATCCGAACGCTGCCTGAAAGATGGGAAAAAGTAGTTGCTAGTGATGGACAATACTTCGATTAAATTTAAACTACCGTTCTTTCACAATAAATATTATTTTTTCTACAAAGAACGGCGGAAACTTATTTGTACTCCTAATACTTAATTTGGAAATTACAAAAAGTATAATGTGTAAAAGTTCGAAGCATCGAAAAGATGAAGAGCGTCGAAAATTGATAATATTTCAATGATCGAATACTCTACGAATTCTTCCTCATAATTGGTAGGCATTTGCATGTGATCTTTACACTTATTGAAGTTTATCCGCTCACCGCTTGCTCCTCCTGTCCGTTTTTTATCATTTATGCTGGACACACAACCGGCTGGTAGCACGCGATACCGGTTCGTCCTTCTCTCCCCCTCTTTCTCACTCTTATTCTCCCACCAAACGACTTTCCCCCTTTCCTTTCACACCGATAAGACTGCCATTTTGCGAACGGCATGAGGGTCGTTGAATGGAATTTTATGGTAAAATTTTATGAACTTAGTTTATGAAGTAATTTTATGTACTAATGACGCGAAACAGCTGCATGAAATCATTGTACGAGATAATTGTACGTGAAATAATTGTACAGAATAGTTTGATGGAATAAATAGATTATAATTGTTCAACATATTTTCTTCCTCGCCTCTTCTTTTCCATTAGTCATTGTATCGATCGTGTAAAACAGTACGAAAGTACACCGTCGTCGGAACGATAGAATACGTTGGGGTTTTATTCGAAGAACAATTAATGTTGCCACTGCTTCGCGTTAGTACATGCCTTAGTAAGGCGTGACACGTGTTCGTTGTTGTTCGTAAATGCTACTCCCTGATTCGGTTTTCCGTGAGAACGTTTACACATGACACACGTAAATACTATTCCGCTCGACGCTCGAATCCTTCAAATCTGTTAGCGGGAGAAGTAGATTTCCCTGTTAATCGCGAATACATTTTCTTTGAGCAACTATTTGTCGTAATTACATTACATTCTAAGGAAAAGACGAAGGAAGAAAACGAGAGATAGGATAGATAGGAAAATCGCTAGAGGAAAGCTTGTACTTTATCGTCTCTTGTAACGAGAGTTAGATAGAGAAACGAGAAGGAATAATACGAGAGAGAGAGAGAGAGAGAGAGAGAGAAATAAAGGGTGTCCACCCTTTTTCCTCCTTGCTACCATCCTCATCGACTTTCGTTCTGTCGTCGAACGTCGACCAACGTGGAACGACGAAGAATCGTATTATCGTTGAGCATTGCTCGACGATTAAATACGCCATTAAATCATTTCCGCTCGATTAGGAAGCGCGGAAAATTCATTTCGCGACGAGACAATGTGCGCAATTTGCTAGATAACGAACGAAGAACAATTAATGCAGTCTATCGGCCTTTCGTTCTTACATTCGTGTAAAATAACCAAGTGTAGGTACTTGTTTCCCATCCATTTGATAATTTCGAACGAATTCGAGGAAAAACTTCCTTCCTTTCTTCCTGCCTTCCTTCCTTTCCATTTTGTACAACCCTATATCAGTAGAAAACCGATTTTAGAACAAGTTGTTTGAAAATACCTATGCGCATCATTTCTACTCACTCGCGCGTTACCTAGTTCAAATTGTACCTACATGAATAAATTCAATCCTATCACGGGCATGCTAATTTCATACAACAAGATTCTAGGCTCGACGAGAGCAATACGAGAACGAACTCATCTACATAACACGTAGTCGCTTACGCTTTTGAGAGTACGTGCGTAGAGAGAGAACGAGTGGGGCAAAGGGCAAGGGGAAGGGAGTAAAGGGGTTGGAAGAATGGAGAAAGAGAAGAGGAGGAGACGAGAGAAGGGTCAAACTAGAGAGAAACGCAAAGTTCGCTTCGTTTACCTTTCGAAGCTTTTAGGCCAGGAGCTTTAGGCGCCGTAAAACTCTCGCATCGTTCACTATAAGAAAAAACAAGCCAGATAGAAAGAAAATAGTTCAATGTGAAAGAAAGATAGAAAACATTCGAACGTTCATCCACTGAAAAGTTCTGAAATATTAGTTCTTTCGTCAAACGATAGAAGTTGGCCACGGATTTGTGAAATGTATTCCCTCTATACCTCTCCCTTTTTTACCTTCTTCATTCTTTTTCTCTTTCTCTTTCTCTTTTTCTTTCTTTCATGTCACCCGTCCTTCTCGTGGGAGCGTGCGAACCAATAGAAATTTTATGACGCCATACCACTTTCCTCTTTCCATCGGTGTTTCGAGAGCTTGAAACATCTTCACAAAACTGATTACATATGCGTCCTCTAAGATCGATACGAGCGATTGGATAAAGAAAGGATACTATTCAAAAATGACTCTCAATCGATTCGACCTCAATTTTACGCGTTTCCTGGGATCGTGTTGAAAATGTAGTACGATATGATACAAAATAAAGTATGATGACTCAACTAAATATAATATTTATGTATAGCCATTATCCGCTCTCATCGCTAAACGTAAATTAAAATAACGTAAATTAAAATTTATTAAAAAATTATTAATGACATTTTATATTAATAAATATAATAGGAAAGATATGTACAATAAATATAATAAATATATTACAAATATTATAAAAAAAATTACATATTAAATTTATATATTAGTATAGATATATTTATGTTATTTATGGTTTTTTTTCTAAAGAATCCTTTGATGTATCTTTCAAGAAAATGTTGTTACTATATGTGATTTAAACATCCGAATAACTCGTGGTTTCGAATTGAATCTCGACGACGAATTTAGTTATCCAGAATCGATTCGTTTTCGTTAACGAATTCGTAATCAACTTCGATCGTTCGAAAGGGATCATTTGAAATTTCATGAGCTTCTTTCTTACGAAAATAATTGGAAGAATTATTTTGAAATCAGGTGTTAAAAGAGATAGAAAAAATAAGAGAGAAACTATATTTCAATTATTATATTATTAACTATTATTACTCTTACTCGTTTTCGTCAATTAGCATTTATGTTTAAAACAATTAACTTAACCAAAGAAAAATATTCGTCAAAGTTTTTCGCGACTTCGAATCGATTTTCTGAATGCTCAAGTTATCGAATCGAAAGGAAAACTAATAAAATATGCATGCTACTTCACCGATAAACCTTCTATTTTTAGTGCATATACGAGAAGGAAGGCATCGACGAGAAGGTAAAAGTCAAATAAACTCACATAGTGTATATAAATTGGATTATAATTGAAAAATCACGCGAACTTTTCGCTATAAAGTTATAACAGAGTGAAAGTATTCGTTTATATTTGAAAGAATATTTCAAGGTTGTGGACACGCAAATAAAGTATGATTTTAGGAATGTTGGATGAAAATTGATTGAAAAAAAAAGACAAAGATATAGATGAAGAAAAATTATTATTAAATTGAACGTAATATGAAGCAATATACTTTCTTCCAAACATTAAATTACAAATTTTAAAAACGATAAGAGTTATAAATTCGTTCTATTTATACATAATCCTAATAATAAATAATTATTATTTTAATGAATCTCCATTAATAAACAATTTATAAATAGTCGATCTCTGATACACACAAGCACCCACCCACAAACACACACGCTTATACATTGAAATATTTCAATTGTCAAAATTCGATTTGCTTAGAAATAAAATTTAAAAAGAGAGATAAAAGTAACGAATGAAGATAAGGGAAATAAATATAAAAGAGATAGATATGACAGGTAAAGTACTTCGTGCAAGGAAGTAGGTAAAGGCTTGCACTCGATTGGCGTCAAGCGGCGTCGAGCGGCGTCGTACCTCTTCCGAGACAGACGCCCACTGTGGCAAAGAACTAGGAACACTGATACTAAACCGCGATCTGAGTTGCTCCGAACGACAGTTGAACGAAGTGTGTTCCAAGACTGGATCACGTCTGCTATGCCGTGGAATACAGAGAGCAACGTGTGTTACTCTCTCTCTCTCTCTCTCTCTCTCTCTCTCTCTCTCCCTTTCTCTTTTTCTCACACTCTCTCTCACTATAACACGATATAGGCTCCTGTCGTTGATTTCGAATCCCTCTTTCACTCTTGATCTCTCTCTCTCTCTCTCTTCCCTCTTTTCTTTCGCGCGAGAGTTCTCTCAGCAAGCGTAGTTCGTGGATTCGCGATCGATCATTCTCGGCAATTCCAAACTATGAGAGGGAGTGAAGAGGAGTAGAGAGGAAGAAGAAGAGGAGCCCGCGTATAGGAAAACGCGCGCATACGCGACGCCGCGCCGCCGGTTCGTTGAAACTCCAAGGATCCAGTCTTGATCGGTCCACGGATCCAACCGCGCCGTTCCGTTGCTTCACGTATTTTGTCCTGGCCTCCTCCTAAGTGCTATCTGTGTTTTCAAAAACAAAAAAAAAACAACTTTAAAAGTGTTCGTTAGATTTTATTTACTTTCATCCCCTATATACGTTTTCTTTTCTATTCCTTTTTTTTTTATAATTATTATTTTTTTCGTTTAATCGTTCCCCTGCATTGTCATCATCATAGTTTTTCTCTACGCAATTTTGGAAAAGGAATGGATATTAAAAAAGTGACAATTGCATCAGCGTTTTTGTCATCAACGTCGTCATTTGAACATCATCGTCATCGTCGTCGTGTTCGATCTTCCAAAGGGTAGAAAGATTTCGAGTAGCACCTTTTCTCGAGGACCTTTCGTGATCGTTAGAACAACGTCCTGACGCGTATCGTGTATCCTTCAATGGAGTGAAAGGGTGTGAGAGAGAGAGGGAGTTTGTGATCGAAGAGAAGGAAGGAACGAGTGGATAGATAGATAGAGTTCTCGTTACGATTGAAACTCTGAGTATCCGAAAGAGAAAAGGGGAGAAAGGGAAAGAGAGAGAGAGAGAGAAAGAAAGAGAGAAAGAAAGAGAGAAACAGGAGCTAAAGGAGGGTCATCGTGCGTATTTAGAGAGGTGTGTAGAATCATCGTGTACAGGTGCTGTGTGTGCCTCGAATCAGTGCTCTTTGGTAACATCATGATCACGCGGCGCGAGTGCGATCGAGTACTCTCGAGTGCTACCGAGTGCGTTTCGAGTGCGAGATACTTCGGGATTATCGTAGAACCACGCGAACGGGCACGCGTACGATCGCCATTGAAGTTGATAGCAACAGCAAAAACAACAAGAATGACGATGACGACGATAACAATAGAAAAGACCACATGTTTTCAGGAATAGGACCTATATACACCGACATAATCAACGAACTCATAGTGGCCGGACTTGTACTTCTATATAAATACACGCATCGTACATTTATATATACATGTGCATTTACATATATGTATATGTATATAGACAGCTGGGGAGGAAAAACAAAACGTACTGGAGCGTTGGTAGAACGATAGTCTGCCAAGCTTACCGCGAATGGTGAACCTTTCGATTGTATAGTAACATCGACTCAACGCGTTGTTGTGCTCTGCCAGGGGCAAATTAATCCGGCGTTACGTACACGTGGACATCAACCATCAACGAACAGCACCTACGTACGTTTATACGCGTGAGTTCAGATCGCATTCGAGCTACACCGGTAATTACCGTGCGGTCTGCACGACCGGTTGCTTCCGGTCGATCGACGAGACAAGCCGAGCTACCCTAACGACGAATTCATCGTTCTTCAGGATTACGAACAGTGTGCTCTTCGTGGCGATACTTTTATATTGTTCTTCTTTATTTTTTCTTCTTTTTTACAAGTTTCTTATTTTATGTCGTCGATTATAAAAAAAAATTTTCATATTTTTGTGAACGATAGTGAAAAGTGGAAGGACGCGAAGATCTTACTCGTTTAATCTTCGAGTTTGGATCCCGCGAATTCTCTTGAAAGGTGAGTTATCTTGATTTTTAGATTCACGTACGCGTACGGATGTGCGCATTCTTCTTTTTCCTCGTGTTTTTCTTCTTATTTTCGTAAAGGAGAGAAGAAGAAGGAAAGAAGAATGCATTGCTGCCGGCAGTGCTTGTCGCCGACAAATCCTCGAAATCGAATTTTCCAATGACGGGGGTCCGTTCGAAAGAACGGAGAAACTGGATCTACGAATAGCGGAACGTATATATGTGTTCGTGTACGTGTATGTGCTTGCATGAAAATGTGTCTGTGTATAAGCGTGTAAGAAAAAGAAAGAAATAGAGAACTCGAGTAAAAGTGTGAAAACGAAAGATAGAAATGCTTTTCTATAAAATAGTCTTTAGAAAACGGAAGAAGGAACGTAAGAACGTAACGATTTTCTGTGCTTCCACTTTGAAATTTACTCTCGCGCGATTTAGCAAATTGAAAAACGTATGACGAATCGTTACGGGAAGTCCTTGGATTTTCCTAAAGATCGTCCCCCTTCAATATGTAATACAATTTTTCTGCGAAAACAATGATTTAAACGTTCGCAGTTGAAAACGTTTTAAATTTCATTTAAAATCAACGTTTAATATTTGATGAAAGAATTTTATCAAATTAAAGATACGTATAATATCTCTATTATAAATTACAATACAATTATGAATATATCTTTTGGAAAGCAAGGTAGATGATTCATACATATATCATTTAATCATTTCCCGGTCTCTTATAACGATTAATATTTTTTATCAATAACGTTTACTCCCCCAAATACCTCTTTTAAAAGAGATAATTAAAAATACTAAATGTGTATGATATAAAAAATAAATTGATAATAAAAATAAATGTGTAGTCAGATATGTGAACATACGCGTAGAGGAAAGATTTTTTCAAGCTTCTCGGAGCCCTATTTCCTTATCTGGAGGCGTTCGTGCATACATATCCGTTATATATACGTCGTTCGTCATCCCCCGCGAATAGTGAAAAGCTAAAAGGTTATCGCAATATACCGTCGCGAATACGCTCCATAGAGTTTTGGACCGTCCGTCGAAATGCGTGATATTGACGTCGTGGCAAGCTGTGCGAGTGTCGATAAGCAAAAGGGTCATAAAATGAAGAACGAAGAGAAAACATTGCTCCAAGATTTCCCTCTTCTATTTCTCTGTTTCTCACCCATTCTCTTTATCTCTCTCTCTTTCTTTTACAACAAATTTATCTACAGTTTCTCGTTTAAGTTATCTTTGACTAAACGAAAGACCGACTAACAATAAGCACGCGCGGAAACATTTCCTCAAGAGAAAACGTATGAAACGTTACGTATAATGGTTCTTACGTTTAAATCGTCCAATGAAAGAGAGAAAGAGAGAATAAGAGCGAGAGAAATACAGAAGAGCTGCTATTGCACCTCGTTTCAGGCCGTACGAGCTACGGAGACAAAATTGCACCATTTTCCTTAATGGATGGTACCTACCAACGGAAGCAATACACAGACCCTATGAAATTATAAGGGATATATCACGAGTCGTACTATACGTAGAAAGGAGTGAAACATCTTACTTTGTTCACGGTTTCCTTAGTGTTTCTTAGAGACGAAAGTCGGGTTGATGCATACCAACGCATAGGAAGACCAAGCAAATTATCGTGCAATGGGTATATCTATACGTGACATTTTCTCGCAATCGGAACTTTCCGACCTTCGACCCTTTGGATATTCATCGAGTATCTTCTCAAAGAAGTGTAATAACGAGCGTCAGTTGTATTGTATTCATGTATACGATGCCTTTCTCTTTTATAGAATAATATTCTTCAGGAATTATCGAAGAAAGCGAAGAATTATAAAATCCCGTTCAAACTTAAAGCTTATCTAACACTTGTTAACCCTTTGCACTTTTTTCTCATATTTTTCTTTTTCTCTGTTCAAATGAAAAATCTTATTAATAATTTATATTTCCTACAACTATAATAAAACTAAAATTTATTTTATAAATAATTATACGATAATATATTTTATAATAAAACATTGTCATAAAATCTCGCTATAATATGAAATCCTAATTCAAGCCATATAAGTTCAAAGAATTAAATTATATTTCTTATTAAGTTGATTATTTATGATATATTTATATTTTAATTGTTTTAAACGTATATAGGGAAGATTAATTATATGCCACGTATATTAAGAAAATGTATACGAGAGTAAATAATCCAAAAAGGTTGAATAAAACTTAAGTATTCAGTTTTTCGAATTATTAAATACCCTACATTCAAAAAACGATTTAACTTTAGTTCTTCTCACGAACACGGTGTTACTATAACGAAGAATTTCAGCTAGAAAAGACTATTAATTTAGTAAGAAGGCGCCGGTTCCGATCTTGCTACGATCGAAAGAGTAGACTCGTGCCTCCTGGTGTTAAGCCGCACCTCTAAACGCGCCCGGAGCACCTCCTTTCCTTTTCTAGTCTTTTATTTTTCCTCATGACTACCGATGCGAGCTGGAAACTGGTTTTAGAATTCCCTCTTCCTCTGTATAACATGTTATCTCGTGGTCCTCATCCTCGGTGACGGTCGAGAAAGAGAGAGAAAGAAAGAGAGAAAGAGAAAGAAAGAAAGATAGATAGACATAAAGAAAAAAAAGAGGGAGAAAGAGAAAAGAGAGAGAGAGAAAGAGAGAGAGATAGTAAGAGAGCTCGATCGAATCCTCTTCTCCTCTTTACCAGTCGCGTTTCGAATCTTCCTTTTATTTTCGAGCTTCTATCTCGGCGAAAAATCTATGTCAACCGACATGTTGACACGTGTTCGAAGGTATACCGCGAGAAGAGTAGAGGAACGTGACTGGCAAAAGAGAAAGAGAGAGAGAAAGGAAGAAGATTCGAGGTAGAACGCCCTGGAAGTTGGGTTACTGGCATGCAGTGTCGGATTTCGCTGTGTCCGAAGAAAGAAAGGCGGAACGAGAGAGGAGCGGCGCGAAAAGGAAAAAAGAAAGACGAAGTAAGAGAGAGAGAGAGAAAGAGAGGGCGGAAGGGAGGTAGGGAGTAAGAAAGAACTCTCAAGGTGTGCACGCACACGCTTGTAACACGCATGCTCGAGTTACAGCCCTCTCATGAATCAAAACTATTTGAGAAGGGAGTTTGGAAAAAGAAGGCTTGAGTACTTACGTAGGTATACCTAACTTACTTTGCTTGACTCACTCTATATGGAAGCAGGAGGAGGTCATGTCGCGCGGTAGCTATCACGATCACGAGATATAAATTAAATTTTATTGTGACGCGAGCCGTCCGTCGACGTTATCTTCGAATCTGACTTGGCCACCCCGCAGAGTCCTCTAAACCCCGTTCATCTATCATTTGTTTTTTCACATTTTAACCTATTTTCATTTTTGTCTCTATACTTTCTTTTTTTTCTCACATTTATATGTGTGACATTTCACAGTTAAGTGTATAATTAATTCATAAACATAAACTATGAGTTTAGTTTCTTTCTTTTTTAGAATATCATTCTTCGTTGGAATTTTCGTAGATATTAATATTCTAATTATTTATTTTCTTTGAGATATGATAAAATATATCGAGAAAGTGAATGTGAGCTTAAACATTTAATTTTATTTTATCCGATTAAAATCAATGGAACATAATAAAAAAGGGATAGAGAAAGTAAGAAACCAATAGAATTGATCGTTCTAGGAAGAATCCGAAGGTAGAAGCGATTAACGGACACGGATCTCTTCGAATACCTCGATAATTTCTAAGTCACGAATCCTCCTCCTTCTCCTCCTTCTCCTCCTCCTGCTGCACTATACGTGAAATAATCGTGCTCTGTTCTCTACCTTAATGCCAACTATTTCTTTCTCTATTTCTTTCTTTTTCTATTTACCTTCACAAACCATTTTCTCTTATTTTCTATGCACTGGGAAAACGATGTAATTAAATTTTATGCATACATATATACATACTCTGGTATATCATATAATTCGATACAATTTTCCATGATACCTTTGTGTTTTTAAAACATTTAACTAAACATACTTCAATAATAATAATAAATTGATAAAAGAAATATAATCGATAATTTACTTCTGTTACATTTATATACAATATTGCATGATACTTAATTGAAATTATAATCGTGATTATGTGATTATTATTATTTTTATAATATTAATAATTGAAAATAAATAACTTGAGAAGGAAATAGGTTAGATACCAAATGTGAAATATACAATTCATCAAAAAATCACCAATATTAATGTATAATAGAAAAGTATCGAGCTTTTGCTTTACTATTGAACGCTTGACTTAAGAAAACAACAAAGTATGTAATGAGTAAATAAACGTTTAGGAAGCTCGAGAAGAGTTGCTATATACGTAACAAAGAAGCGAATAACAAGAGGAATGGTACATCGATAAGCGAAGAAAGACAAGCTATTATCCATGCTTATAGGGTTCGAGAATCAACCGACTCGATTCAAGAAACGGTAATACGGAAGCGAAACGTGCTGTCTTCATGCGGCTCGTGTGTTCGGGTCAACCATAATAAAAGTAATTCTTCTGTTGAAGTAAGTCGACGTGGTCGAATGCAATGTTTTCGTTTCGTACTCTTCTATTCTATTGCCATTACATCTCTTAGTTACGTACTATACTTATATGTATATATATGTAAATATATAGTTAGTTAAATATAGTATATGTATACATATAAACTATACATACCAGTAAATTAATATTCGCGAGTAGGTGGTTAAACGTGTACGGTGAAAAGTAGGTTCTTCGTTCGAGTTCTTTCCTCCACGTTTTCTGATTCATCTGATAGACGTATTATCACCTCGAATGAGAGAGAAAGAGAGAAAATAAGAATATGAATGTGACTATGAAGCTAATCGAGCGGTTCTTCTTGCATAGTTTTCCCTTTCCATAAAATTTTTCCTTTTGTAAAAACTCATATGTGGTAGCGAGGACACACCAACGTTTCGTCATTATACTCCGTACCGAGCACGAGTC